TAAAATCATTTCAACGTTCCTCATGACAACAAATTTATCTCCGCGAAAATTTATTTACACATACAGATGGAAACGTGCACGTTAGTCGAATCGGTGTGCCATTAAAAATGGCGACAGATTAGCATACAGAAAAAAACATCGAGATCGAGTGGATTGGCAAAAATCTGGAGATAGACACAGCACGGCGCCGGTAGCTGGGGGAGGGGTGAATACTGCGGTGTACTGCTTCATGACGCCTCGGTATTCGCCTCGGCCGTCACCTTCAAGAACGTGTCCTCGAGGCCGCACTGCGTGACGCTGTAGTCGGCAATTTCTGTAATTAAGGAGCTAGAATCGCTTCAGATTCGGAAGACTTACGCAGCTTCGGGTCAGCGCACAGCTTGTTCATCGCCGTCCACGCCGCCGACCAGGGCAGGGTGGTAGATGGGACCTAGTAGAACACAGCTAAAGATTACATACCGATACTTACCACATAGATACAAGTCCGCGACGCGCCCGCCTCCTTGATCTTGATCTCAGGGAAAAAAGCCGTCATAGCCTGAGTGACGGCCTCCACACTGGCCACCATCAGCTCGTGCAGCTTCACCGGATCCTTCTCGCCCGACTCGTCCGGCTTCAGCTCGACGGTCATCGTGTACCCGCCGCTGTATCTAAATTTCAAAGTGTTGTAGATGCTCTTAAGCAGCCCACTTTGACTTGAGATGCTGACTCGACCCGATGGCCACCATCCGTCCCTTGATCATGATCGAAATCTTGGTGCATAAGGCCTCGCACTCCTCCATCGAGTGCGACGTCAGTAGCTGAGCTGTATGACCTGGTGGTTGGCGGGAGAGGTCGAGGTGCATCCAGATGTCTCGGCGGGCCTTCGGGTCGACACCGGCCGTCGGCTCGTCGAGAATTCGGATGGCGTCCTGGGCCAGGAGGGCGACACCGACGCTGATCTTCCGCTTCTGGCCACCGCTGCAGAACTTGATGCGCTTGTCGCCGTCGTTGGACATACCGACGGCGGCGAGGACCTGAAGTAGTAGATATTTGCGGTGAGAGAGTGATTGAGAGAGAGTGTGAGACACGACCTGCGTAGCCACCGTGGCCGGCTCGGCGTATCCATGGCACGTCGCCATCAGCTTCAGCACCTCGCGTCCCGTAAAATCGACCAGTACGGCGTCGAACTGTGGACAGTAGCCGATCGACTAAATGGCCGATCGATTTCCGCTTCTCGATCCTTCACAATTCAACTATGGGCGCGACTCACCGAACTTTGCGTGTCCGGTTGGCCGTAGAGCCGGATTGCGCCCCCAGACGCCACCTTCAGCCCGGTCAGAATGTCGATGGTCGTCGTCTTGCCGGCGCCGTTGGTTCCTTAAAAACGAATACTGCTATACGTTTTTGAAAACAGCGAACCGAGCAGCCCAAAGCATTGGCCCGGCTCGACGGCGAACGTAATCTGGTCGACGGCTGGTTGTGATTTGCAGCCGAACCACTTCATCAAGTCGGTCACCTGAAAGTATACGGAGGACTCCAACAAAGTCCCGAATGCCCCCACCAACAGCGGCCAATTCTGATGCGCGTTCTGCCTGACATATTCGCGCTCAGCTGCGACGTCCTCATCGGCATCCTGGTAGCGCTCTTGCTTCCGGTGGATACAGGCCGCACCAGTGAAGGCGAGCACCACCCGGCGTACAGTCCGCGAAGACAGAAGCACGAAAAGCACGGCCATCAGCGCGCCGAACACCCCCATCGCGATCGCCGGCAACCCACTGACCCTGAGCAAAGAAGATGGTCGATCCTTTGGCATCGTAGCACTTACCACCACGTGTCAAAAATCTCCTTGATCCTCTCCTCGGCCTTGTACTCTACGATGATCACGTGGACGATGCCCATGCACATGGCAAATGGCGGGAAGAGGAACTGCAGCGGCACCTGGGCGAGGTTAGGGTTCTTGACTGTTAGCGGGGGGGGGGATTTTAGCAGGGGGGAAACCACTTCTTATTCTGCGACCTCTTATTCCTGCTGGAGATAAGTTATGTAGTTTTAAAGTGTGTTTAGTATCTTTTAATTGCGAGAAAGTTATAAAAATATTTTGAAAATTCGAACATTTTGACTTTTTTTTGGGTTTTTTCATACATTTTTGACCACAAAGACTCAAATTTTTGAAAATTTTTACTTTTTTTAACATGGTTTTTATATTTAAAAATATGCAGAGCGTTATCAAAATTTCAATGAAAAAACTTCAAAATTTAGACTTTTGAAAATTAAAAAAATTGAAAGTCGTTTAATTTTTTGTCTAGCGGACAAAAATATTAAAAACACCCGAAAAATGCATTAGATATTACCAACAGGTGTCGGCAATAGGCGTAAAGAGATATTAAAATAAAGCGTAAAATAGTCACCCTGTAAAAAAATAGCGCCTTGCCAACCCTTACCAGCGCCACTTTGAGCTTGGTGTGATCTTTTTCTTTTTGGCTAATGGAGGCTTCGTAGGTGATCCAGATCATTATAATGAAGACGATTACAGCGGCGACGAGGGGAGAGATGACCTGAAAAATAATTGAAAAAATCGTCCTTCCCCCCTTTAGCTCGTCGAAGGCTTGTCCGATTCTTATGATTTAGGTATCTATCGAACGCCCTCGAAAAGGCGAGTCCAGCACGTCATTCCGATTTTTGAATTTTAAAAATTTTTCTAACTATACTAATAATCTTTGCGATTTTCTGATGTTTTTCTGGCCATGCGGTTCTTGCAAAAAGTACAATTTAAGGATTTTTACGTATTTCCTGGCAGCCCAACGTGAGCGTTTTAAAAGTCGTTTGCGGAAACAAAGTTTGGATAGCGCTCCAAACAGGTTAAATGGGTTTTTTTGGACAATACAAACCTATCTGTTTTGCATGCAAATTGCCGAAAGCTGCGGAATCGGAGCAGACTCGCTTTTCCGAGAGCTTTCCATAGATAGTTAAATCGTAAAAACCGGACAAGTCTGCGGCCGCCTGGGGATGGTGGTTTTGTGGACATCCTGTGGTGACAAAGACGGCTACTCTTCGCGTTTTCCCCACGAGCTGAGTGGCTTGCCGCCAACCTGCCAAATGATGAGCAGTGTGTTGTCCTTGGCGGCGGTGGTGAACAGGCAGGAGAGGCAGTAGATGAACGGCAGGCACGCCCACAGGTAGAGGGCCCAAAAGCCGGCAAGCCTGGAACGGAGAACGGAGCAGTGCGAAGCGCGTCTCTCCCACTAACCCCGTGAGCGCCTCAAAACCCAGCACATCACCCGCGTAGAGGATCAGGAGGCCAACGGCGAAGACGAGCGTGCATAGCAGTATGTCGTACACAATCGACGCGGCCCAGTAGATGACCGGATGCAGCTTGGTGAGGAGTTGCTGAAGGGAAGACGTTTACGCAGTACTGGACTGTTAGCAAGGGGGAACCCATTTTTTACGTCAGAGTCTCCCCCAGCCCCGGGGTTTCAAAATTGTCGATATTTTTGCTATTTTTTTCGGGTTTCTTGATAGAGCGTCGAAAAATATACGAGGAGTTTTAATTCGAGCCTAAGATCCAGAACAAGCAAAAAGTTATGGCCAAAAATTTCCAGGTAAGCCTAACCGTAGCCACTCTTCACAGTAATCCCGTACGGCGCTATAACAAACATAAACTATTTTCAAAGTTTTAGGCAGTTTTGTAATATAAACATCTAATGTAATATAAGGCTCATGAAAACATCTAAAGACTTTCGAAAATGTTCCAAAATCTCCAAAAATGTTTAAGAGATAGATTATCCAGCAGTCAAAACCTACCAAGGCATTGGAACAATACACTATTTATTGTCAAGAAATAGACAAGCAAAAAAAGATCTCCCCCCCCCGCTAACAGTTCAGTCCCACTTTCACCACGCAATTTCACCTGATGCTGAAAGTTGCTCGTGCGCTCCTCGACGAGCATCACGACAAAACCGGAGGTCAAAATGGAGAGGGCGATCAGCACCAGCGGGATCATCACCGCTTTGCGGAGCTGAAAATCATAGATTTTTTGGAACTAACAAGGAAAACCAAGTTGGCACGGTGGAATTTCGAAAAAGGCTCGCGGCTACCCCTAGGTTTTCGACTATGGCGATTCCAACTATTCAGTCAGAATTTCCTTAATGCATCTGTGGACAGATATCTCAAAAATTAGCATAGACGGTTTCGAAAGTCCACCGTGCCAACTTGGGGTTCCCTTGTAAGGATCAAGTAGCAGCTGTGCGAACCAGTGTGTCTTTGGCAGCCTGGAATGCCTCGTACTCGGTGTTAATGGGGAACACGTGGATACCGGTGATGATCTTTGCCTGGTCGTTGTCACTGAAATCGCGGGTGACGGTGCTTGCTTAAGTAAGGCTTCGTCCACGTTTTCGTCTGCAGCCGGACCGTGTCGACAATGTTGATGAGCAGCGGGGCCGTGTGGAAGCCGTTCGGGTTGTACCAGGCGTGAACGCGGGCCGCTGGACCCCACGAGTCGTTAAGGTGGAGGCCGACGGCGAGTCGAGGCAGTTCTTTGCCCTCCTTTAGGAAAGGCAGGGAATGATAATGAGAGAGAGCAAGAGAGAGAGAGAGAGAGAGAGAGAGAGGAGAGAGAGAGAGAGAGAGAGAGAGAGAGACAGAGAGAGACAGAGAGACAGTGTGAGAGAGAGAGAGAGCGAGAGAGAGAGAGAAGAAAGAACCGCAAATCCCAAAAGCATACCTTCAGCAAATCTTTGTAGAATTCCTGCGTCCCGGTCAAGTCTAACAGCTCGCAGCCGTCGCTCAGCAACCGGCGGTACCGCTCGACCGCGTATGTGGTACCCGGAGCCACCTGAAGAACGGACCGCTCCGCAGCTGGACCCCCGGAAGTTACGTTCAAAACGCAGCGCCCCATCTCGATGGTGGACGGGCCGACGATGATGCTGTCGACATTCTGAAGCGGTGCGAAACTACCGTAGCTGGGCGCAACCCCACCGTTGTCGTCCGGTGGCACACGTAGTGAACACAGAAGAAGAGGGCAATCGGGATGAGGATCTGGGCAAAGTGATAGCGATAACTTTGGGACTGCATGAACCGCAAGTGGCTTAAGCTCAAACTTCAATCTGTTTCTGACCTGCACCACAAACTGCGGGATGTTCTTCAGATTGTACAGCAGCCGCTTCGTGAGCATCGCCAAGATGTGGGCAAGCAGCATCGGCAGGCCGTCACGTCGCGAAGCACTTGCCTGCAGGCGCGCATCCGAAAAACGAGCTGAAAACCGACCTGAAGTCATCGCGACTTGTCACTCGCCCGCTGTTCCCGCTGGTCCCGCGCTGATCGCACCAATGTCTGTCATAATCAGTTATTTGAAGTCGATTTAGCGTCCTGACGCCATAAGGATACTTCGTCCTCGAAGCTTCCTGAGTTAAGATAAATACTGGCAAAATAGGTGGACTTCGATTTACTGCTGGCATGAATAAGTTCTCTCCGTTAAAACGACGGGACTGTTGATCGATCTGGTCGCGCGAGGCTTCGAGGGAGGGGCCAGTATGTCACCATAGCAGCCGATGATCAGTTATGTGGAGCCGCCCAGATCCAGACTGAGCCTGAATAGCCTGCGCTGTAACCTCCGCTATCCACTCGGTCCGTGCGGCAACCGGTGATCATGCCCAGCTGCCCTCAGCAGAACATCAGGTTTTCCCAATCGATCGCCAGAACAAACGGCCGCTGTCGCAAACTGCTTTGACTTATGATGTTATGATGATGATCACGTGGTTATCTTCAGAGTGATCTGTCACCAACCTATTTCCTGCTCCTGTCCATATAAGGTGAGAGATTGTCTGAGGTGGTTTGTCAAAGCACTTCCATATGTTCCAGAGTCTCAAACAACTGGAGCCTCTTTGATATCCGCTAACACGTAACTGGCTGGTTCTCCCAGCCCTAGTCCATACCCGAAATACTGGTTTGTCGATAGAGGCACCATCTTCAACGCTCCTGAGCGATCGCCATGGCAGATTATAGCTTCCGTTCTCAAATTCGAGAGCCTTGGGCCGCCGTGAGCGCTGATTTGAGATTTTATCTAAGTTCCGACCTCGCCCTTCTTACGCGCAAACTCGCCGGATCAGCAAGTCTATTTTCGGTGGTCATTGCTCAAGCTCTCCTGAGGTGGAAGAAACCCAGAGTCTGAGCATTGCTCTATCTCTGAAGATGGGTTTTTCAGTGATATATTCAGATCTGTTTCGAACTGACTTTAATATTGTCCGGGTGCAGCATCTGTAGTGCACACAGGGGTGGTTTTAGGTATGGTGGAGAGAGAGGTGGCAGAGAGGGTGCAGGTGGGTGGCGGCAGGCAGGTGGTGGAGAAGTGATGCCAAGAGAGAGGACAGGTTTTGTTCCCAAATCCACCTGAGGAATGTACCTCACAGACCCACAGAATCTGAGATCCAGCCAAGCCCAGCTGGCGTCATGTGTCCCCAGGAGATGGTGATCTGCTTCATTCATGTGAGAAAACCCAGAGAACCAAAACCACCCGAACTGTGCCTTTGGTGAGATTCATCCCTCTAGTACCAGCCCGCTCTGATTGAACCAGCAAAGTAATGCGTATGAGTTCAACGCGCAGGTGCCCGCATCTTGGTGACAACCTTCGTCCCGATATTCTATGCCACGTTATCGCGCCGATCTCGCTGACTATAGTTAGCCTCAGCGCTTCGTTCTTTCATCAGCGTCTGTATGACGGCGGGACGAGCGAATGATCAGGTCCGCGCCCGTCTTCAAAAGAATCCTATCGATATCTGATAAACGCGTCGCGCACAAATGGTTCCTCCGAGCAGCCGGTGATCAACAGCGTAGCTAAACATCCATGAAAGCGCGCCAACCAAAAGTTCAGGGGTGGTGATTGGGAGAAAACGTCGTCCACCGTTAGCATGAAACACGGACGCCATGCTGGAGGCACTTGGATTGCCCGTAGGCGTATACATCATAGAGGTGGAATCGGTTACCCGGAAGTGAGGTTTTTGGTTCGTTAGCGGGAAACCAAATTTTTCCCTGTGGTTCTATACGGCCTCATATAAACATATAAACCATTTTTCTAGCAGTTTGTAAAGTTTTTAGAGTTAAAAGATAGTTAAAATCAGTATGAAAATATCAAAATATTCCAAAATTTTTGATTTTTTCATAAAAATGTATGAAAAATGGCCAAAAAAGGTAAATTTTCGAATTTTCCAAATTTTGAAGTATATTTATAGTATTTATTAGATTTAAATTATTTATTAGATTAGATTTAGAGCTTTTTATTAATTATTGTTATTTATAGTAGTATTATTTATAGCTTTCTAGCCATCGAAAACTACTACAAACACAACAAGACAAAGTATATCAGCAACAGATAGGTGGAAAACAGAAAGTTCAGAATCCCCCGCTAGCAGCCCAGTACCGCGTTTTCTACCCCCCCGCGCGCTAATGAATCAGTTCCACATCACCCACTGCGCTCGTCGAAGCTGAACCAGATGTCGACGGCAAAGGCGAACGCCTGGTTGGGGTTGAGCGACAGGAAGAAGCACCACAGCACGTCTTCGCGCGGGCGGCCGGCGACGAGCGGCTGCAGGGCCATCATCAGCCACAGGATCATGGCCACTGAAAATTGACCAGCGGTCTCCGCCAACACGCCTGGGCCTACACTTGAATACACTGGACGCCGTTTTCAGGAGGGAGGAGCAGAACACGGCGAACGAGACAACGGCAAATGAGTAGAGGAGTGCCACGAAGGGAATGTGGAGCCAGGGTACCAACTGGAAAGAACTTTGAATTTTTCGCCAATACTTTTTAAAAATATATAGAGTAGTTTTATCGCGTTTTTAATAATTTTTGATTACAAGGAAATGATAAAAAACTAAAACAGCTTTGAGAATATCTTTTTTTATTAAGCTAGAAATGCCTATAAACTTAATAGGAGGTTTCATAATGCTTTTATTTAAATAAAACTATCCTACTACATATAAAAAAAATAGTGTCTGTGTGTGTGCCACTTTGCATGCAACTTCCGTCACCATGTCCAGAGGATATCTCAAGAGGGGAAGAGGTTTTTGCTACGCATGATATGCCATTAGGTGCGTAATGGCTCTGGGATGACTGCACTTATCAGATTTTACAAAATCAGCTGTTTTCGACATTAAATTTCAGTTTTTGTAAAAATTTCGGGAATCCTCTTTGTTAGGAAACAATTAACATACACCGGAAGTGGCTGTAGCCTATAAAAAGGTTCAGGGAGGACGCTTTTCTTTTTTTGTGAGCGGAATTGAGGACATCTTGCAAAGTGAAGCATATCATGGGATCAGACGGGTCCAGGGTTGAAAAGTCGCGAAACGGCTTTTCAACCCTGGTATTTAACTAAAAAAACTATCTAGAAACTTTGAAAAGGTCGACCTTATGGTCAAAAATGGCCATTTTTCTTCGGAAAATCGATGTTTTTGCATTTATTGATATAACTTTGCTAGGTTTTTGCGTTCAGAAAAAGTAAAAAACAGTTTAGAAACAATTCTGCTCACATTTCAAAACTAGATGCTTAAGAAAAATTCTCCCCCCGATAATGCGAAAGAACCCGTTTTGATATTTTTATCCAGAACTTGTGCAAAATGCTATAAAAATAGATTATATTTTGCTGTAGGAGTAATTCTACTGGAGCAATCGAGCGTCAACTAGAGCAAGAAGACGCACATCAAAATACTTCCACAGCGGGTAGAAGAGGAACGGGAGCAACAGCATCGACTTGGACCACGCGATGAAGGCATGGCTGAGGTAGAAGAGCAGCGGGGAGAGGCCCATCACTTGCATGTATTCCTAGGAGATTAAGGTGGACGGCAAAACCGAGGCAAGCTTACCCTGAGCCCGATCTCGACCTCGAACGAGATGTCCCTGGCGAGGTGGATGATGGTGGGCAAGAGGAGGAGGGCCAGCATACCCGAGTAGTAAGGCATCATCTAAAACCAGATGGTTACAGTCGCTTCGCGACTGCAACCATCTGGCCTTCGGGCTACCCTACATGTCCCACTCCACCACATCCTTTCCCACCTCCATCAATAGCCCCCATAGCTGAAATCCCCGTCAAAAACTACCTAAATACCTTCCTGATAACTTCAGATACCCCCATGGCTGAAATCCCCTTCAAAAACTACCTAAATACCTTCCTGATCGCTTCAGATACCCTCCAGGGCTGAAATCCCCTTCAAAAACTACCTAAATACCTTCCTGATCGCTTCAGATACCCCCCATGGCTGAAATCCCCTTCAAAAACTACCTAAATACCTTCCTGATCGCTTCAGATACCCTCCAGGGCTGAAATCCCCTTCAAAAACTACCTAAATACCTTCCTGATCGCTTCAGATACCCTCCAGGGCTGAAATCCCCTTCAAAAACTACCTAAATACCTTCCTGATCGCTTCAGATACCCTCCAGGGCTGAAATCCCCTTCAAAAACTACCTAAATACCTTCCTGATCGCTTCAGATACCCTCCAGGGCTGAAATCCCCTTCAAAAACTACCTAAATACCTTCCTGATCGCTTCAGATACCCTCCAGGGCTGAAATCCCCTTCAAAAACTACCTAAATACCTTCCTGATCGCTTCAGATACCCCCCATGGCTGAAATCCCCTTCAAAAACTACCTAAATACCTTCCTGATCGCTTCAGATACCCTCCATGGCTGAAATCCCCTTCAAAAACTACCTAAATACCTTCCTGATCGCTTCAGATACCCTCCATGGCTGAAATCCCCTTCAAAAACTACCTAAATACCTTCCTGATGGCTTCAGTTACCCCCCATGGCTGAAATCCCCTTCAAAAACTACCTAAATACCTTCCTGATGGCTTCAGTTACCCCCCATGGCTGAAATCCCCTTCAAAAACTACCTAAATACCTTCTTGATGGCTTCAGATACCCCCCATGGCTGAAATCCCCTTCAAAAACTACCTAAATACCTTCCTGATCGCTTCAGTTACCCCCCATGGCTGAAATCCCCTTCAAAAACTACCTACATACCTTCCCGATGGCTTTAGATACTTTAAATAATTTAAATAATTAATTAACATAATTAAAAAGTATTAAAAAGTATTAAAGTAACTTAAAAAAGCGATCTGGGTGCGCGAGGGGGCCTGGGGAAGAGGGGCGAAGGGAAAGGGGCGTGGCCTCCCCGGAGAGGGGCCCCCACTCGTTTTATTAAGGCGCCACTTTCAAAGTTAATTTTAATAATTTAAACTAAAAGTTTTTCATAATTTTTTTATCAGTTTGGGGGTTTCTGACCGCGCTCTATCCGAATCCGAAGAGACCTAAGCTCTAGCTCCTTTCCCCTTCGAGTTGAATTCGGCTTCACACAGACGGACGGACGGACGGACGGACGGAGACCACAGTAAAATTATTATAGTTGATCAAGGATTTCCTTTCGGCGGATCCAAAAAAAACCGGTTTTTCGGTTAGAGTGCAGTTTACCCCCAGGCCGCGCCCAACTTTTGTATCTCGACTCCCTATTCATCTACAGGTGTGTAAAGTATACCAAAATACTCGCCGGAGCAAGACAAACATTTTGGTATATTTTACCCACCTGTAGATGAACAGGGAGCGGAGATACGGTAGTTGGGGGTCGGCTGGGGGGGCGGGTAAACTGCACTAAAGCCGGTTTTCATCAAACCCGCAAAATCGCACATATGCAGCCGCTTTCAGGGGCGGCGCCATGGCCGGGAAAGAAAAGTAGTCGACATCCTTGCGGACTCTAGGGCTCGGCTCTTTCGCGGTGGTCATCTACAAATTCATTGTTGTTAGGCTTGGGCATCAGGCTACTCAAATGTGGTTTATCCTGCTCCGCCTTACCTTGATGAAGGCGTCGTCGAGGAGCCACTGCATCTTCAGCGCGCGATTCGTGGCATAGGGCGAAACCCTGTTGATGGTCGTGCCGCCGAGCTCCTGCAATGGCGATTCAGCACTGTTTTTGGTTACTTAACGTACCCAACCCACGAAAAGCTCATTCGCTTTCTCATCAAATTTTAAAGGCATGCCTTTCAAGGCAAGGATCTTAAAAAAATCACAAAAACAAAAAATCTAAAGGTTCCAACGTATTCAAAGTAGAAAAACACCCAAATAAAGTTAGAAAATATTTGAAAAACGCAGACAATCTACAAACTAACTACTTATAGGGCCGAAAAAATAATTTTTCGTTGCAAAAATAAATTACGATTTTTCATTAAAACTTGTAAAATTTTTATGCTAAAGCATTGCTAAAAACAATATACCGCTACTTATAATCTATGCTTGCGCACTGGCGAACACTTGGTGATTTTGCCCACATCGGTTAAGGAGTTGAAGAAGGCCCAATTCTGATCGAATTTCCATTCTGCTGCCATGCCGGGCACCCAGATACGGTAGTCGAACACTGCAGCCTTCACGTCGATGTTCAATATCTCGATGCCAAGCGCTCCTCGCGGACCTCTGAATGGTAATTCTACTGAACGGACTAAAAACAACTCACGGACTGGGTGCGTCGTGTTGCCAGGGATCATCCGCCAGAAACTTCGCCATGGCCTGAAAATGGGTTATTTTGGAGGGCTGCTGTATTCTAAAAATCGTTTAGCTAGACGCGCAGGGTTTACGAAGGCAGAGGGTATGGCATCCATGCGGATTATCAGCACGCTACGTGCTGCTTGACCTCCGAAACACACTTTTTTGGGTTCTGGACTGGCAGAGGGGGAGCGGGGCGGGATTTTTAACGGCGGGGAACCAAATTCTGCCGTGTGATTCTCTACCGGCCCATTACAGAATATAAACCACTTTTCTAGCAATCTTTCTTCAGAAAAATGTATGAAAAATAACCAAGAAAGGTTCCAATTTTCGAACTTTCGAAATTAAAAAAGATTTTTCATGACATTCTATTTTTCTTTTCATTATAACTACCAATTTCTAGAAACCAAAGCTACTAAAAACACTATAAATATACATAATAGACCATCATCGAAAAAGAAAAAGCGTTTTGCTCCCCCGGCTAAAATCCCCACGCTAGCAATCCAGTACTCTTTTTTTCTCTGGGGTCCAGGTTGGCCTGCGTATCCGATCTAAATTGCTCTCATCCAATCTTTTTCGTAAAATACAATTTGGAAGCAAAAAATTTTTTGAAGTTAGAAGATTAGAAATTTTTTCGACTTTTCCAAAATTTTTCTAACCGAAAATCGACCTCTCTCGTGCCATAGAGGCGTGGCGGCGGCCAAGTTTCGTCTTCAGCTTCCTTGATGACCTCCTGGTAGGTTGTCATCAACAACGCCGCAATGTCACGCTGTCCGGGAATAGCGACGCTATAAAATAAAAAAGTTTCCTCAAAAATTATATTTACCGTTGTAAAGTATACCAAACTGTCCACACAGTTTTAGTTGCAAAAATCTTAGAAAAAAAACAACAAAAATTGTCGAAAGTTTTTGAAAATTCGGGCAAAAATCTGTGAAAAATACTCAAAAAATGAGAAATTTTGGAATTCCTTGAAAAAACCCACACTTGTTTTAAAAATTTAGAATCAGGTAAAACCCTACGTGTAGACGTAGGTGCTCGGGGTCGGGTTCATCGTCAATGGTTGGGGTCTCACAAAATTGGAGTCTCGATCCTAAGTGGCTTGGTGTCATGACAAGCCCTTGCACAACCTCACAAGCCAAAAACGGTAAGAGTTTACTTTACCCCCCACAGCCGAAGGGTCTCAAAGTTGTCGGTATTTTCGCTTATTTTGTCGGGGTTTTCGCAACGCCATTCAATAGAGCGTCGAAAAATATACTAAGAGTTTTAATTTGAGCCTACAATAATGTAAAATAAAAAAGTTATAGCCAAAAACTTCCGGTTGGGGGGGGGGGTAAAGTAAACCGTAGCCCCAAAAACCCTCAAAAAGGATCGCTCGAAATTACCTGCTTGGGTTCCACCCAATCGCCGGCTTTGATGAGCAGCGGCACGCCGATGAGCAACGGGAGGATGAGCTCCACCAGCGTCCACACCTTAAGCGAGGTCAACAGACGGCAAGAGTCTAGTTTAGTCTATCCTGCGCCTAGAAGGTGGTGGAAACGCATGTAGCGAAATTTGCATAGGAATGACCTTGTTCCGCCACATGAGAATCAGATTCTTGAGGGTGAGCAGCCAGAATTGGGATAGGCACCGCATGGTGGCGGTGCTGTCGCGAAGATTGCGGCGGCAATATTTTCGTTCTCATCGCTAATTCAGAGGACTTATGCTCGTTTATTGACCCTGTGGATGCAAATAACTTTTTCAGGACAGGTAGGCATAGCATTTTGCAGATTTGCCCGCGACGATAGACAGCAACTTCTTTCTAAAAAACTGTATTCTGTATTTTGTTTTCCCTCCATAGTTTGATTTCACTTCCAATTTTGGTTAGGACAAGCTGAAGCCGGTTCTTTAGGATTTCCGGGGGAACCAATTCTTTCCCTGGCGATCCCGGTTGACCTACTAAACAAATACAAAATGTTTTCAGATTAGTTTTAGTAAATTTTAACAATATTTAAAGTAGAGAAATTTTGAAAACAAGTTAGAAAAATGTTTGAAAAAGTCGAAAATTTGGTCATTTTGGGTCTCCCGCCCCCCGCTAACCCCAAAGGGTCTATAGGATTTTTCGACCTAAAATTAATCTTTTTTTTTAATTGAGATCTGTGAAGTTGTTATGCTCAGGAATAGTTAAAAGCAATTTAGAAACGCATCCGCTATTCATAAAAAAATCTAGGCTTGTGCCGAAAAAATTTGGTTCCCCCCCCTCGGAAATCCTAAACAACCCTGAAGCCTAAGCCTAAGCCTAGCCTCCTGAATTTACAGAACTTTCTTCTTTCCATGTGTAGTTAGTTAAATTTTTATTACAAAACATGAATCGAGTTACAATTAAATGAAATTGACAAGGATCTCTAAAACGGTCGATAAGTCTCGAGCCTACCTTTCGATTCTCGGGGACATTGACCTTCTTGACATCCCTGTTGCAGCCGTATGGTTGAAGATCAAATCCAGCAGATCGTTTTACCCTGATGCGTTGGCATGGTGGTGCGCCGCCACCTATATATTGATGCTTGCAAAGCCACGATTAGATTACCTCCCGGCGGATCCCGATCATCTTCCGGCTTTCGTTTTCGAGAGTTCGAAGGGCCGGGTTGGTCGGGCCGTGGTGTGGTCAGACCTGAAGTTTAGTATTTGGTTGCTAAAGAGTCGGAAAGGATCAATGCAAAACATACTCCTCTTAAGCTCAGCCCAATGATCCTTCCACCGCTCCTCGGGTTCGTCTTTCTTCGTGACTTTGTTGAGCTCTACAGAGAAGATGTGTGAATCCAGAAACTTTTAACTCACGCATATTTGGATCGGCAGCTCTTGCTTCCAAGCCTAAATTTTGGTGTTTCGCGGCACGTATCTGATAAAAACTACGTGCTTGCCGCATTCTGTCAAATTGGAGTTGCTGCACTCTAGCGTATTCTTCAGGCGTGCGTTGGTAATGTACGTCTGAAAAATGTCAGTACGTCCGCTAATCTGCAGCTTCGCTTTCTTACCCGTTCTCTCCTGATAGGCCCTCTCACGCTCGGTAGGAAAGCGGGGAGGCACAAAATTTGAGGGACGACGTGGGTTCGTGGGGTCTTCGTCTGAAAACTATTTTACTCTTCTAAGCGTAAACAAAATTTGACAATTTTTTTGATTAATTTTTAAAGCTTTGGAAAAGAAAAAATTGCCAAGGCTCAGGAATCTAATTTTTTCCAAAACCCACCCGCAGGATCGCCCCAAATTGCCATTCTCGCCGGATACCCTATCCGCCATATGCCCGGCAATACTATAAAAAATTACAGGGTACAATGAGAAAAAATGTTTGCCAATGACGTACGCTCCTCCCCATGGGCGAACCAGTCCTCTGGGTACTGATGATTGTCGCGTGCTAGAAAAAAAGAACAAATAAAGAAAATTCAATTGTGATTAAATTGTTGAATGAAAACAGCTCACCCCCGGCCGGCCCATTAAACGGGTCATCTGGGTAACTCTCGTCGGCTTCTAAATTTACGCTCAATAGCTAATTGTTTTTTCTCGCATATTTCACCAGGTATTTGATTTGGCCGACGTCTTCTTGGATGCCGCAAATTGAAAACTGGACCCAGAAATAGAAACAAGAAAAGCAGCATTTTACCTTGGGGGTTTCCAGCCGTACGAAATGATGGAAAGACGGTCTGCGCTGTCTGGGCGATGCCGGGAAATTCATTTATTTTGGAGCGAACAGAGTCAACGCAGCTCCCAGAATTCCGATTGTCACCCGGCAATTGGGTCGCAAGATCCAAGGCGGCTATGAATTTTGTACCTAGACTATGCATTTTTATCAGCACTATCTTTTACGGAATCCTTCAACGAAGCGAAAAAGCATCATCCTAAAATTATTCCGTTCCCTTGTTTACTTCTTTGACTTAGTTTTCTCTACTTTATTTAAGGCTACATCGGCTGCATTTGCGTTGCTTTGCTTCAATGCGGGATAATATTTATGACACAAAAAAATCCACAATAAAACAAAAAACGCCGAAAACAAGGCCTGATTAAAATTACAGCTAAATGAAATTGACAAGGGTCTCTAAAACGGTCGATAAGTCTCGAGCCTACCTTTCGATTCTCGGGGACGTTGACCTTCTTGACATCCCTGTTGCAGCCGTATTGCTGAAGTTCAAAGCCAGCTGATCGTTTTACCCTGATGCGTTGGCATGGTGGTGCTCCTCCACCTATAGCACTGTTGCCAAAGCGACCATTAGATTACCTGCCGGCGGATCCCGATCATCTTCCGGTTTTCGTTTCCTAGAGTTCGAAGGGCCCGGTTGGTCGGGCTCTCGTGTGGTCAAACCTGAAAGCTCGGGTAAGCTTGCTAAAGGGCCAAAAAAGACTAACAAGGGAACCTCGCGGAGACATGGTGAAATTTCGGAAAACGCTCGCGGCTACCCCCGGGTAATCGACCATTGTGATCACGATGCGCTTGTCAGATTTTTCTAAATAGACCTGTGGACAGAGATATAGCACTTCCGGAAAATGCTGATTTACATGCAAAAAATTTGCATAGGATGATGGTTTATGAGGCTCTCCCATCACTATGGAATCACCAGTTGAATGGCCGAGTGGTAAGGGCTCGCTTGATAGGATTCTAACGAGGGTTCGAAACCGCTCACGATTTTTGTTTTTGCTTTTTGGCCAGAGATTTTTGTACAAGTCCAAAATCATACGTGTTAAAGTACTTCTAAATTTTATGGTAGTTGTCGACGTTAGGTGGTCAGCAATTATTCTTATAAATTTTTTTTCAACGTTTGCAGATCGTCAGGTATAGGAATTCTAGCCGGCAGAACTCATTTTCATTTTTCGATTTTTTCGCCTTTCATGGCAAAACATTAGGGATTTCGGGCTATTACTAGTAACATTCTGGACTTGTACAAAAATCTCTGGCGAAAAAGCAAAAACAAAAAATCGTGAGCGGATTCGAACCCTCGTTAGAATCCTATCAAGCGAGCCCTTACCACTCGGCCATTCAACTGGTGATTCCATAGTGATGGGAGAGCCTCATAAACCATCCTCCCATGCAATTTTTTTTGCATGTAAATCAGCATTTTCCGGAAGTGCTATATCTCTGTCCACAGGTCTATTTAGAAAAATCTGACAAGCGCATCGTGATCGCAATGGCCGATTACCCGGGGGTAGCCGCGAGCGTTTTCCGAAATTCCACCATGTCTCCGCGAGGTTCCCTTGTAAGTGAAAAACATAATCTTCTTGAGCTCGGCCCAATGGTCCTTCCATCCCTCCTCTGGTTCCTTGTTGGCTTCGGCTCTGTTAGGCTCTAAAGGTACTGTGAAGTCAGAGACAATTGAAACATACCCGGATGCGGATTATCAGCCGCGTTTTGCGCACCTAGAATATGTGGTTTTGTTTTGGTGGACAGTTCAGGATATATATCCAAAAACTTACGCGCTGCACGCAGTCTCTCAAACTGTAGTTGCTGCGCCCTAGCATACTCTTCAGGAGTTCGCTGGTAGTGGACGTCTAACAGAACACTACGTTCGCAGCTGGACAGTTTGGATCTCCTACCCGTCCTCTCCTGATAGGCCCTCTCACGCTCCGTCGGAAAGCGAGGAGGCACAAAATTTGGAGGGCGACGTGGATTCGTAGGATCTTCGTCTAAATATTCAAGGGTATGATTTTTTGGTTTTTCTTGCTATTTCTAGATCTACAAACAATACAAATGCAGAAAAACAAAAAATAGCTCTTCTCGACGAAAATTATCAGCGTTAAAATAGTTTTCTAGGTTTTCAGATAGTTTAGATACGCGTTTTTTAGTTTTCTCCTGTTGCCAGAGCCGAGTTTGTGCTTATACACTACTCTTTTCTAATTGACACTGTTATTTACTTGCTTTTTAAAGCTTTTAACTAGAGATGTTATTATTCAAATCAAATCTGAGGATTTGAAAGTTTTTCAAATCAAATCCAGATTTCATTTGATTTGCCCGCAGAATCAAATCAAATCGGATTTGATTTGAACCGGAAGTCCAATTCAAATCAAATCCTGGACCGATTTGATTTGATTAATTTGAGCAACCCAAATTTCCAAAGCAAACGCGAGAAAGTGGATGCTTATCAGCAATTTCCGGTTTATTCGATTATGATCATATGCAAAACATCAAAAATTGCCCTCTTTGCCTACATTTTTTGGCGCTCGACTTGTGATTTACATCCGTAAAAATGACTGCAGATTTGAAAGTTTCTCAAATCAAATCTGGATTTGATTTGAAAGTTCAGCCAGTTTCAAATCAAATCCAGATTTGATTTCGGCGGAATCAAATCTCAAATCTTCTTATTCAAATCAAATCGGATTTGAGTAGGATTTGATTTGAATAATAACGTCTCTACTTTTAACCCATGCAAGTCTGAAAACTGCGAGGCAAAGATCGAAAATTGAATTGTTTTTACAAACCCCACCCGCCGCCGCATCCAACATTCCGAAACGTGCCGGATATCCTATCTGCCACAGGCCGGGCAATACTGCAAAAATCATTTTAAATAGGGCTCAATCAGGAAAAAAGAACGTTTGCAACGACGTACTCTCGTCCCCATCGGCAAACCAGTCCTCTGGGTACTGATGATTGTCGCGTTCTGTAAAATTGAAAG